TATGGTAAAGTTATCGTAACGATATAGATTCGATATCGAATCTATATCGTTAGAATTTTTTGAGTTTCTGTAAAGTATCTATTTCAACCAGTAATAAATCATAAGAGTTTTACTCTATTAATCTTCTTAAAGTTGTAGGTTATCAAGAATGTTTTACTTATATACATATTAAAGAAGCAGATTAGTAAAAAAAAATTACTTTATTTAATTTTTTATGAATAAATTATAATACTAGTTTTTTTAAAAGAAAGTATTAATGATTCTTATGTTTTCTATTATTCTTCTCTTTATCATAAAATTTTTTTATAATGCTGAACAATAAATTTCAGGTAAAACTTATATTATTACAGATTCAGTATATCTACTTAAATCCTTATAAAAAAATTACATTCAGTTTTTGTATAACTTTTATACTAAAAAAACATTACAATTTTCAGACTATACAGAATGCTAAAACATAAAATAACACTAGTACTTATACATTCAAATTTTTAGCACATATTTCCTATTATTTCTGAATTAGAAAAATCAACTGTACTAATCAATAAAGTTTTTATATGATTATTTCTTAACTTTAATTTATAATAATAGATAGTATTTTTATTTACTTTACAAGTTTACTTTAATGCCAAGAAGGATTTTAAAGCTCAATTTGTTATTATTTGCAATTTTTGTAAAAAATTAATTAATTTTATTTATTCATATTTAGTAATATTAAATTTTTCATATGTCGATAAAATACTAAACTATACAAAATCTGTATATTTTAATTTTTTAATACAATTATAGCATAATTTTTATATATTTCAAATTTCAAATTTTTTTTATACAATTTCTCTATTTTAAAATTTCTATACAATTATTTTTGTATGGTAAATTGAAATAACTACACAAAAACTGTATGATATCAGTATACATTTATACAAAATCAATATAAAATTTGTATAAGTTTTTTTATAGGAAAACATATTTGGTAAAGCTATTTTCTAACTTTAATATCTTTGATATACTAACTTATTGAGAGAATTGCATCTTTTATTGTAATTATCGAGAGATTTAATAATAACCTCAATTTTTTTTTATTTTTATTATTAATATTAATACTTTTAATATTAATAGTATACACATTAAAATTTTTGTGCACTTATAATATCTGACATGATGCATATTGCTTTTGATTCAGATTTTATATACTGCATAGGATCCAAAAACTAAAGCACTATTAGAAGTATTTTGAAGAACAATGTGAAGGATTACTTATGAAATTTACTAAGAAAGAAAATAATAAATGTTATAAAAAAAAAGCAAAATAAAAGTGTGTTATTATAAAATAAAAGATTGAAGTCTTTAAGCAAAATATAACCTAATGCAAAATTACTATCTACTTTTATTTTTATTTTTTCAATAAAACTTTTAAAATTAATACCAATTATAATGTATTATTCACCTTATCCCTTTAATAGTTTTCCTTCCAAATTTAGAAGGAATTTTACTTACATTAAAGTTAATTTTAAATATATATAAATTAGCTATTAAACTAATAATATTATTATAATAAAACTTTTGATGTTTTTTAAGTAAAATTAAAATATTTTACTAAAAGTATTTCTTTATAAAAGCTAAAATTTTTAATTTTTATTTATAAATTTATTTATTTATATATTTAAATATTATTTATTTATAAAAAAATATAAATTTAATATTTTAATTATTAAAAATGAAATTTTATTTAAAAATAGTAGATTTATAATAAATTTTATAACATATTTTAACTAAACATTAAAAAAAAATTGTAAGATTTTATTAGAATTTTGCATAATAATTGATTGAAAATCATGACTAAATTTGAATGAAAATCATTACCATTTAAGGGATAACTTTTTTTCTTACAAATTGGGTTACTAATTAGCAGTAAATGTGTTGGCAGAAGGGAAGATCTTTTGCATTGCAAGGTAATATTCCATAAGTCGACTCTGTCGCAAAACAAAAAATTGAATGAGATGCATATGAAATATATAAAAACAGATGAGACATTAAACTTACAATCTATACTTTAAACATGTAAACTTTTTCGATAATCTAAGAACATAATTGATCTTTTGAATTCAGAATACTGAATTCTGTTAATTTATCAATGACATATATGCCTGTATTTTGAATCATAACATAGATCATAAATTTTCTAAGGTAATGAAAGAAAAGGTCAACAATAACTTGCTTTAATATTATGATATTAAATCCATGTCACTTACGTATACAATGATTCCATAAGATTCCAAGGAAGCGAGTTGTTGCCCTTTCGCTCCACGTTGTAAGTGATGTTGGCGTTATCCTATCTCAAAGATAATTGCTTTAACATTGATTGTATAGATTAGAGGTTGGAACCGGTTAAGAAATTATCTTGTTAACCGGTTAAAAATTTTTTTAACCGGTTAAAATATTTAGTTAAATTTAACCGGTTATTAACCGGTTAAGGATTTTTGGGCCGGTTCCAACCTCTAGTATAGATTCCATCTTGATAACAAACTATTTGGATTCTTTGTTTGTATTGCCGAGTTTCGTTTCGTTTATTTTTGCTTAATTTGTCCTCTATGCAAAGAAAAAAAAACTGATGAGCAGAGACCTAACAAAAGGAAATATTTTCAACAAGAATGAATCTCAAACTCACGTCTTCACTCGACTTAGATCCATGATATCATCAAAAACTTTTGCAATTATTGGATTGACAAAATCTTCACGATAAGAAAGTTCCGTTTGTTCACAAGTTAATAGGTGATCTGAAAAGAAACAAATTAAAAAACGATATCAATTAAAATTAGATATGCACAATGTAAAATTACAATAATAATGAATGCTTACAATCGTTTATAAATGTCTTGGATCCATAATAGATCAAAGTGTCTTTATGAGCAAAAATGCCTGTATATGATATGGTATCGCAAGAATATCCTTGATGGCGTCATCCAATTAAATTGTGTCAAATGCCGATTTGTTTTCAAAGTGGGCGTGATACTTTTTTAATAGAGGCTGTAAATCTTTTTTCCATTTATTTTGACGGATTTTCTTTATTTCACATAATGACTCAAACTACGAGAAATTAAACAAAGCTGTTAAAAATTTCGGATAGAAACTAAAATTGCAAGAAAAAAAAATATATTTGATACCGAATTCCAGATCTTCTTTAAGTGGCTCTTTTCAGATTCTGGATCTGAAGCATCTCGCACTGAAAGATTTATAACCCTATACTTTACTTAAAGTGAGGAAATTCGGTATGTTTTATCTTTTCAATAATGCTACGAACTTCTTCTGTCACGTTCTGTGAATTTGAAGATATGACATAATCAGAGATCAGGTGAGATAAACTGCAACTTTAAAGCTTTGCAGAGCTCAATACCTTATGAAAAAATTGGATGTTTTTTGTGTAAATATCTTCGTTATCAACTTCCTCGTGATCAGGAATGGAATAATTATCCATCGAATTTTGTTCCTGTTATGATTTATATTATGTATACATCAGAAAGTGTTATAAAAAAATATCATTGTGACCTGAATATTTCATAAATACAATTGCCTTTTGGTGTTCAGGAGTTCTTTGGAAATAGCCATCGACAGTGTTGGACATTTATCTAATTGGACATATAAACTTGTATATGTCCAAATTCAACAGTGTTCATCGATCCTAGTCCATTTTTGGACTTTATCATCCTATAAATTAAAATTGCAATTAATTAGAAAAAAAAATAGTTTTAGTTAAAAAAAAATTACATGTCTTTACTTTTTCTTGGTTAGTTCTCTTTGGCGCAAATTCTACATCGAACACTTCACACCTTATGCTTCCATTTATATTATTAAAGGCACCATTGATCGATCGATATGAACTCGCATACCCGAACGTGTCTTTTCCCATTCTTTGGCCCTCTTTATATCCTAATCACAAATTAGTAGTATTCTTGAATATCATGCTCTCATCTTTCTTTTACATTGCTATCCAACTTTCATTTCTACATCAGACAATCCCGGAGAACATCTGATTTGACAGTGTCAGTAGTCCCAGAGACTTTTAAACATCAGGCAATCCCAGAGACCACCTGCGCCCCAACACCGTCTTTGTGGCTCGACCCAGAGTCTTGAATGATAGATATCCCGGAGATCCCTGCCACGCCACTCATTCATTAAAAACTTTCAAACTTGTAATTTCCAAGCCCTTTCGCGTCTTTGATCTTCATCCGTATCTGCAATCTTTATAAGGTATTCTTTTATTTTCTTAGAATAAGGTTCCAGGTCACAACTTTCAAGAAAGCCTAGGATATTCCATTCCGAGGTCTTTTGTTCGAAATATTTATGTAACTGTTTATGGAAATGAACGAAAAGGTAAAAAAGTTAGGATTGCGAAATGTAAAATTCATCGCATTAACTTTCATACCGTTTTAAAAGTGTGCATGATAATAAGTTTAGAGTAGGCACAACGGAATAGTAATAATGAGATAATTTAAATTGATATGATAAAGTGGTTGTTGGATCTTGGAATATAACTGGCTCTGGCTTTAGTAGCAAGAATTATATCATGAAGGTTTCTTGCAGAGGTACCAAAAGGAAGTTCTGTTAATTTGATGCGATGTGTATTCCTATATTTAATTTCTTCTGGAGACAAAGTGCACGGAAAAAATCGAAGTTGAAAACGAGGTGAAGGGATGGTTTTTTTAAGCTATGTGTATATTAAGGAAAACGAGTCGTTCTCGTGTATCATGATGATCCGTTACATCTGTTGATCAATGATCTTATATAAGTTACTTATTCGTCCTTTTCAATATCCAAATATTCGTTTCAAGGAATGCGGATGCTTACTCCTTTCCCAATTTGGGTAAATTAAAGTATACTATCATTTGGTTTTGATCATATGTTGTTGAATCGCATCATTTTTTTTTTGAAGTTTTTATTATCCTAGCAGAAATCAAATATTTTAATTTAACGTAATAGATTTTCAAGTGATCATAAACTAATTCTATTTCTTTTGTTTTCTTTTGTATATAATCTGTTTCATAATGCGCGATTAAAGATATTTCATGTTTTGGTTGTTTACATCTTATCATAGTTTTATCTTCTTAAATGTTGTTAACTTACTTATCTTGATTTGTTAAATATTGATCTGCGGCGATGCATACTGCGCCATTTTGATCCAATGGATCGGATTCGATCCATTCCCAACCCTGTAATAGACTGACCAATAATATAAAATACAATCCTTTTTTAAAAAAGAAATATTAGAAAAAAATTTATGTAATAAATATAACCGACGTTTTCAAACTTTTCTTGGCGCTTGCATAATATGCAGGCGTACATAAATTTAGGAAAGCAAAAATAATTTAGATGACGTATACAGTCAGTCAGTCAATATCTAAAAAAGCAATAAATTCTGGCCGATATTAATTTTACAAAGATCTACAAAATTCATTATGGAATCCAATTCTGATGTGGCGTTACAGATAATATGCATGTGATTTCTCGCTAAACCTATTTGATCATTTACAAAGAAAAAAATTTTTTTCGAAATTCAGAATACGACATAAAGTGAAACTCAACTTTATTATGCCTCCTAGAATAGCTTTATAGCGTGTCACAAAGTAATGATTTGTGGACCGTTCGAAAGGAATAAAAATAACCATTCCTTCCTCTATTCCTTCAATTCGTCCCTTGAATTTCTTGATATAAAAAAGTCTTTTTAAACAAATGTCTTCTGAAAATTCTACAAAAGAACAAGGTCAAAATAGACATTATATATCAATTAGTCGAGATGGAAAATATGCAGTCACGTTCGATGCAGGTAAGCGTTAATTGGAATAATGTAGCTTGCATTTTTTAAAAATTTGCTCATACTATTTTTTTTCTTTTGGTAATTTAGCGACCCTTCAATTTAAAGTTTTGAAGAATACCGATCATCGCGAATTTTTTACCTATAATAAAAAAGAGGAAGATGAAAGCTCTGAACAAGATGATTCCAATGAAATCAATGAAAACAATGCCCATAGTGAAATAAATCATGAAGATGCCTCCAAGGAGCAAAAGGAAAACAAATGTTCTGAAATCAGTGATACTATTTCTCATTTTCGAATAAAGGATAATTTTTTTATAGAAGTTTTTCACAATATCCCTCCGTCATTCAAGAGTGACGCACGTGTAATGGACAGATGGTCGATCGATATATCCAATATAGTAAAGTGTGACGACAAAAACTTTATATTTATAGCAGCATCTAAAATAGAAAACAAATATATGAAAAATACGACGACTGAGAATAGTACACGAGATGAGAATATTAGAATGATTGTAAAAAATCATAATGGGGAAGAAGTTTTTATTAATATTTATCCGGAAACTATAACAGATCTTGGAACCGCTATTTATTGTCTTAAACTTAACGATGGCGCAGAAAATTCTTACAATAAACTTGAAATTATTCAATATAATTACAATAGATTATCAGGAATTTGTAGATTTGTAGAAGATATCGATGAGGATCAAGAGGGAAAGCAAGATTTTGAAAATTATGTTGAATCAGATTATTTAAAAAAATTTATTTTATTGAATTATAATGGTATATATAGCTTTAAATATAATTATTACAATAATAATTTTAGTGATGATGTAGAGAGATTTAATTATCCAGAAATTGTCATGAATGAATTTTATTATTCTCAGGATTGCATGGACCAACTCCTTTCACACATTTATAAAAAATATTTTGTATATGAAGATGACGACAAAAAAGTTCTTGAAGGTAAATAACTAAACCAATAATATCTTATAGATTTTTTTTTATGAATGTATATTAACAAATTCATGATTACAGTGTATGATTTAGGAGAAATGAAATTGGAAACTAGTATAAAGATTCGTGATGACGATCAAAAAAATAATGAAAAGTGCTTAAAAGTTTACTCGATCGATAAACAAAAATTACAATTTTGTATTGCTACAGGATCTCAATCTATTGGGTGAGTTATCATACGATAAGCACGTGATATCGATATTTCCTTATATAATTGTTAACATCACTTTTTAATAGGATATTCCTTATGGAACACGGATCGAGAATCGCATCCAAATCATTTGAAAAATTCAACATACGTAAAATCCATTTAATTGAATTCATCAACAGCGATGAGAAATTATTTTTGATTGTCAGTGATTCTACAAATGATCTAAAATTTATCATTTGGGATATATATGATACTGATAAGGTTGAGATAATAACATTAGAAGATATTACGGCACAAAATCTTAGTACTTGCTTTGCAAATTCCTCTGGAAATATTTTACATGTCAATAATGAAGGGAAAGTTATCTTAATTAGTAAGATGGTTGCTGACAAAAATATTGAAAAAAATTTAGAAAATTTAGATTTGGAAGAATTTATTAAAGAAACAATATCAATTATAAAATTAGATAAACAAAATCATAATATATACTTTTATGCAAAGGAAAAGGAAAGATATAAACATGAATTCGAGCCGGCGGTTAGTGTACCAGAACCATGGATAACAAAAAGTTACGAAAAGATTTCTTATTACTTTTGTAATAATTCAATACCTTTACAACTTATAGTTGGTAGATCTACTATTCAAATCTGGAATAGATTCAATGATGAAACAAAGCTTCCCAATGAAAGAAGGCCGTTTCTTGAATTTATTTGGACGAATGGAATTCCATATAATCAAGAAAATGAAGAACATAAATTACATATAGAAAGTGTTCAATTTGGCTTGAATAATTTTCGCTTGGAGGTTTATTGGTATGAAAATAAATGGAATGAAGGAGAGAGTATTTACGAAGAAAGTTCAATGAATAAGGAAAAATTAACTGAGAAAAAAATGACGCAAAAAATGGAAAATATGGAAAAAATAGATGGAATGATAATCAAGAAAAAAATAATTGAATGGAGTGATATTAATGAAAGATTGAATGGAATAAGATATGCATGTGAGGCATTAGAATTCCTTAACGTGCGCGCAAAATCTTTAACAAGTTATGATAAAATACCTAAAGTAAGTTGATTTAAATATTCTAATTTTTATAAATTGAAAATTATTAACAAGATTCTCTTAAAATATAAAGCATAATGAAATGGTCAAGTATATTAATCATATAATCTCGAGATTTGCTGCAAAACGACCACAACGATATAGATTACTAGCAATTCGCTATCATGTTATGAAGAATTTGATTTTTGGTGATTGTAATTATTTAATTCATTACCTTTTATTTGGATCCGGCAAGTATCTTTATGTACCAAAATGTAAATTTTGGAATGAGAAACGCAAATATATTATAATAGATAAAAAAAATCCCGTGAATATAAAAATTGATATCGAAAATCGCAACGGTAAACCCAAACCTTATCTTCTTTAGCATTACGAATTATTCGTTGATAAATTAAATAATATTTATTTATTTAAAGGATTAAAAAATCCAAGATCGTGTATGAATTTCGCAAACTTTAATTGCAGAGGTAAATCAAATATCAGCATGTATTTCTTAACATAATATTACCATTATACGATGGATTAAAAATATGTATATATATAAATATATTTGTAGGTCGGAAAGAACTTGAATATCCAACGACAGACGTGAATTTAGCAATTTATTATTGCAGAAGTAAGCCAATTTACTAGAATTACAAAAATTAATTGCCGATAGATTAAAAAATTATTTTATTAATCATCATAGATCATAAACCAAAAGATACAATTATTGTTGCATATGTTTTGCAATATTATTTATTATTTGCAGATGATTTTGTAAATTTGCTAAAAACGGTTTCCGATGCATATTTTTTATTGAATATATTAAGATATGGTATGTTTTAATTTTTTTTTATTTTATTGATTTGAATATATATATATAATTGATAACGTTATTCGTAATATAGAAGAGTATACCAAAATGCTAAAAAATGAATGGCACACATTTGAGAAGAACTTCTCAAAAAATCCAAATGATAGTAAAACTCCATTAGAAATGTTAGAACTTTTAATATCCAAATTAAAATCACCCATGGATGACTTGAAGAATTCCAGGTTTACCAAATTTCAACGACGAAAAAATAATTATATATTGCTTAAAAATATTTTCTTGTTTATATTTATACCACGATGGTATAAAACTCTTCAAGACCAATCAAAAATAATTCCATATGAAGATATTGATGATATGTTTGATCTCCCAATAATTAAAGAATCTATTAATCATCGTTGGCCAAGTGCAAACATTTACTTTATCTTACTTTTTCTTCGATTTTTAACATTCGGAATTTGTTTTATGATTATTAGTTTAGTATATATTGGTAGTATCCCTGCTGAGAGATTGCAAAATTATTTGTTTTTGTTAATTGGTTTATTCTATTATTTAGCAATTTATCTATTTATTACTGAAATAATGCAACTAATTCATCATGGAGGTAAAAAATATCTTAGGATAGTATTTAATTGGTTTGATCTACTTTCAATCGCAATGCCTGCGATAGTAATGACAAAATTGCTTATTTATACGTTCAAATCTTCTAACGGTTTTGGAAGTGTTGAAGCAATAGACTCTCAATTAATTGTGGAAATATCTTGGTCAACTTTTATAATTTGGATTGAAATTGTAAGTTTTTCAAATATAGTGAATATTCTATATTCAATTAATTAAGTATTTACTTTTTATAAAAAATTTAGGTTCTTAATATCCGTTTTATACCAAGTAATGCAAAATATAATAAATCTTTAAGAGCTGGGTTTCTTACTAATTTCTCTTATTTTTAAAAAAAATAAAATAGGAATTACGTTTTACATCTTTTGTGTTATTAACATCTGCAAAAAAATTTATCCTTTTCTCATATTTTTATTCATTATTATATTTGGATTCGCACATACAATGTAAGATTATTTCAATTTATGGGTATATAATATATTTCTTTTAAAAAAAAAATTATCAATCAAATTTTATTATATTTAGGTTTATTTTATTAAAAAATCCAACAATTAAAGCAAGAGATTCAACATTAAGTGGAAATGCTACAAATCTATCGACAAACGAAATACTTGAAATTAAACTTAAATCCGATTTTGAACCCAATGATTCAAATGATAATCCATATTCCACATTTTCCACTTCATTGTTTGCTACATATTTTTGGAATAATGGTGATTTTGTTCAAAGGGAACTTTTTGATTTTTGGTCTATTGAAATATTTTCTATAATTGCTAGCATTTTTCTAGTAATAATTTTGCAAAATATGCTGATTGCTATTATGAGGTAAGTATTATCGATTATCCTTCATACATTCCTATTGTAATTTTATTTAAGGTCTCTTTTTAATCTTCTATTTTGATTCTTTTAGTAATGTTTATAAAAGTGCAGCCGCCAAAAGTAATCAAGCCGTATTAAAATACAAAGCAATGATTATATCTGATTATTATGATTTGAAACATCGCTTTGATTTTTGGTATCAAGATCCGGAATATGTTCCTTCTAAAAAGCGTATTAGAAATTTTTACAATGACATTTATCTTGATAATCATATTTCAGAGTTTGCTAAAGAACTAGATTACGATCATAATTCAATTTGGAAATTTGACAAATTTGACAATGAGGAATAAAAAACATTTATTTATTTATTTATTTTATTCTTTCGATATTTATCAATTTTGGTTACTATTATCATTTTAATTAAAAAAATTTATGAAATTATGATTGAAATGTGTGTTAACTAAAGAATTAGAACATTACTTATTATTATTTTTTTTTATATAAAAAAAATGCCGATTTAAATTATAAATTAAATTAAGAATAACTATTTTTTAAAACTGCTTAATTCTTTGTAAACTCAAACAAAAAAATTTAAGTATTTAAGCGTCATCAAAAATTTTTATTCCCCTTAAAAAACAATTATTAAATTTACAAAGGCTAAAATATACTAAATATAAATAGTTGCGAGAAATTTTTTTTTAACTGTTTAGATCAAAATTAAAAAATTGATGCAATTCTGCCATACTAACCCTAATCCCACAGCAACAGTAAAACAATCTACCCCTAATGCCACAAGGTGAGGTGTGCCGTCTGTGACAAATAACGAAGGATTTCACACAATAAAAAAACGTGTTCTCAGTTTAAATAGTAAAAAAATGGTGTTATATAGATGTTTCATGACCTGAGGATTTTACTTTGTTTGCCGCCGATTATAATTTAAATCATTTTTTCCCACGCTCTTATATTACATTAGTTCTTCCACGATTTCTTCTTTTTCCCAACAATATCCCTCATTCTTTTTTATAAAATGAATACTCTTGATCCTCTAATGTAATGGTGTTTATGGAGAACAAAAATTCCTTATACCTCCTTCTCGTGAAGGAGATTATATATATTTAATAGTTTTTTTTTTTTGTAAAAAAAAATTTTGTATAATCAATCGAAGTTTCGAAATTTTCATAATAATGATCCCTGTCATTGCAAACGATTTGAATTGACCAATCAAAATAAAGAAAAATTTTAAAAAGATTCTTACTGTTAGAAAATAATGCGTGCACGAAATCATTTCACCATGACCATATATATTTTTTTTTAATAAACTATTTTAGAAAGTATCATAAGGGTAAACAGCAAATAAATTTTATAAACAAAATAATCTTTTTATTCTTAAGTAGTATAATTTCGTAAGTCAGCAGAGTCACAGATTCATGATGGAAAAAATGGAATTATTTGTGTATATTGAGCATGTTAAAGCCTAATACACCACTATATCAACATATTGACACGATACTTTCGACATCAAATACTTCAATCATAACTATGCACATTCCTAAAAAATAAGAAAAGTTAGCAGGAAAAAATAAATGACTCTGTGACTTTGTGACCATACATTTCATAATAAAAATTCGCCTTTATGGGAAAGTATCCCTTTCTTAAGATTTTTTTTATATAACCCAATTTACTTCTTTTTTTCTTTCAAGTTTCTTTCTTGAAATCTTGATTACTCATTATGCAATAAGTTCAAAAGGTCTAAGCCAAATACCAATCTATACAGATTATGCACAACGATACATCTCCTTAAATTACTTATAAGATGGATGTATCATGTTATAATTAATACTGCAAGTACTCTTTCGGCGCTCTAAATGAAATCCCAAATTCAAACTTGATTTTGTTTACAACGATTATTGAAAGTGATACCATCGAGTAAATTTCTATTATCGAAATTTTGTTTCTTTCAATTATGTACCTACTCGACCCGATGTCAAAAAAATGTGATCAAATCCAAAAGGGGAACCTAGACATAAAATAATAAAGAAATTGTTTGGTCATTGAGTTCTGATGCGAACGAACCCGACAAATTAAAAAAAAGATAATGAAAAAAATATATATTATAAAAAAATTAAAAAAAAAAAAAAAAAAAACTCAAAAATAATTGCTGCGGCTCACAGCTACCCAAAAAAAATAAAAAAAAATAACTTCCTTTGCAAATTTTAACGATCTAACTCAAAGAAAGAAATCGCCTAAAGAAGTAATTATCTAAACCTGACACAAAAGAAAATTTTAAAAAAAATACTTAATTTATAATACAAAAAAAAAGCTTTACCTCTAATATTTAGAATAAACATATTATTAAAAAAAATTATTTTTAATAATAAATGATATCTTTAATATTCAGAATATTCAGGGCAGATTTATTATTAAAAAAATAAAGTTTTTTATTTTTTTAATAATAAATGTTATGTTACCTTCAAAATTCAGGATAGACTTATTATTAAACAAATAAAAGTTTTTATTACTTTTTTAATAATAAATATCACTTCTGATATTCAGAACTGACTTATTATTAAAAATTTATTTTTTAATAACTTTTAAAATTTAAAACAGACTTATTATTAAAAAAATAAAGTTTTTATATTTAATAATAAATGAAACCTTTAATATTTATTAAAACTATAATTATAAATACTATTTCAAACTTTTGGAATGGATTTTTTATTTTAAATCAGATTGAATTAAATTAAAAGCTAAATTCAATTAGAATCTAATAAATTTAATCAAATTTAAATTCAAATATGAATTTGTTTCATATCTGAAAAATCTGATTCAATCTATTCTGTTAGATCTGGATTATCTAGATTGAATTCTGATCAAATTGAATTTTTTGTAAGCACAACTTTCTATAGTTATCTCTTATACAATCATATTATAAACATATCTTTCATAAAAACCAATTTCTATTAATACTATATAAAAAATTACTCTTCTATAATCATAATGTATTTATAGTCATATAGTAGGGCAAATTTGGGGGTTTTAGGGTCAAAATCAAATAGATACCCAGAAAGTATTCAATCAAAGGCCAGAAGCCCTTCTAGCTATATGAATCATAATATAGAATTCAAGTCTAAAATTTAAAACGGCGCATAATTTCGATATCACCCCTCTTTGCTATAAAATTTAAGATTCGAAACCTAAAATCAAACAAAATGGATATAACATTTCTAGCGCGAATTTAAACCCGCCAAAGATATCAAAAAAATTATACCATTCTATTTGCCTTTGAGACGAAGCGAGCTTGGCAAGAACCAAAGGTTCGAAGCCAAGCTCGTGAAGTCTCTGCAAACCTTCTATGCATACTAATATTTATGCTATACTGCTTGTCTTTGAGAGTGGACTCGATTATTAAGGAACGAAGTGACGAAATATTCGAGTCCATGACCTTGTCAAGCCAAAGATGCATACTAATTTTTAAGATATCCTAGAATTAATTCAAAAAAGGATTCATAACCATCTAGCAAAGTGTAAAAATTCACACCTAAGCTCGTCTTAGGTGTAAATTTTTATATGTCTACAAGAAAGTTAAAAAGCTATAGAACACATTCTAGCAT